TCCGCATTCACACCAGATGTAACAGGCTTCCAAACTTTCAAGCTAACGGCAATCTTTTTCGGAGGTCTCTATCCCTGTCTTTCCCGCGTTTCTCAAAGGATGATCCTGCTGTTCAGTTTCGATATGAGCTGAACGGGCACGGAGACAGCCAACACACATCCAACACACCTGCTAACAAAACAGCCTTTGAAGCAGACCCTGTTCTTTCAAGACTCGGGCCTAGGCCTAGGCTCAGGCCTCGAATCAGCACGAATATAGGGCCTTATTAATTAGAATAGTGTTTTGGGGCCCATGATACTATAATCATAATAAGGAGCCCCCACAATAGTATTGGTTTTTTATTTAGGCCCCTACTATAGCATCCTTATAGTAGCCCTTATATGCCTTATATATAGAACCCCCCCAAACTCTGTTATAATTTTTAAGGCCCCTATAGGAAGCCCCGAAAGTATCCATGATGAAGCCCCCTAAACTCTAAACCCTAAACCCATAAACCTAAACCCTAAACCCCTCAACCCCTAAACCCCTCAACCCCTAAACCCTAAACCCCTAAACCCTAAACCCCTAAACCCTAAACCCCTAAACCCCTAAATTTCTGGTAATTATGTGCAGCCCTATAGTATCCATGACACGCCGAGCGTCTCGTCCTTCAACTCCTGAGTTCCTACGCGCCTCATCTTCCTCTCCTGACCTGCGGCGACTACTGCTTTGGCGGCTTTTGGGATTTAGGGGTTTAGGGTGTAGGGCTTAGGGTTTAGGGGTTTAGGGGTTTAGGGTGTAGGGCTTAGGGTTTAGGGGTTTAGGGCTTAGGGTTTAGTTTAGGGTTTAGGGTTTAGAGTTGAGGGTTTACGGTTTGGGGGTGCTTGACCTGCGGCCATTACCGGATTGTTTGGCACTTTAAAGGGCTTATAAGGGCTCACTAAGGGTCGTAACAGGGTTGTTGTAAGGGGGAGTTTTGTAGCAGGAGCTTTGAGGATTTGGGGACTTTGTCCGGGCTTTTTCAAGGGGTTGAGAAGGTGTTTTGCAAAACCTTCAGGCTTGGAAAAGGGTTTACTAAGGCTTGAACCCCGAAAATCAGAGTAAGGTTTGAAGGGCATTAGGGTTTTCGGCAAGACGGATTCTGGTGGTTATAGGGAGATAGGGCTTCAAGGTATCGCGCCTTTGGGCTGGATTCAATGATTCTAATGTTTGAGGATGCAAAGGTTATGGCCTTGGAGTTTTAGACATTCTGGGGTTGAAGCCTTGAACCGAACCCAGAAACTAACAGAGCCCTGAAGCCAGAAACCTGAAATCCCAAAACCCCAAACCATAAACCCTAAACCCTAAATCCCTGAACGCTAAGCCCTGAACCAGAGGCTGCGAGCCTAGTTTCTTCAGCACCGAGCCGGCATCTGGCGAGGAGCTGCCCGTGTTCTCTTCGTGGTTGGGTGACTCCTCGCAGATTCTAGCCTAGTATCCTTACACATAGAGCCTCTAGGGAGGGTCTGTGACTACAAATACTCCGACCACTATACCCTAAACCCTATTCCGACCACTATACCCTAAACCCTAAACCCTATTCCGACCACTATACCCTAAACCCTAAACCCTATTCCGACCTTTGAGTAGTGAGGGCTTCGAGGTGCCGGGCTCCATGGGTTCCTAAACCCTGCGCCGGTGCAAGGAAAATCAGGCCCTCCTCGCTGCCAAGGAACCCTTAAAGGAGCCCTTTTGCACTTGCAAGATCCCTACACCCTAAAACTCTGAAACCCCCAAACCCTAAACCCTAAACCCCAAACCCTGAACCCCAAGCCGTTTTTGAAGTAACGGGTCCTCCGTGCTGCCAAGGCACCCTCAACTTGCAGGATCCTCCAAACCCTACTTGGAGGGTCGGGGGACTTAGTAACTGGTTATTTTTGGAACTTATAAGTACCATAACCCCCAATTACGGTCCCCGACCCTCCAAGTAAACCCTGAACCCCAAGCCATGAAAGGAAGAACGGGTCCTGCTTGCGGCCAAGGAACCCTTTAAAGCGCTCCTTTACACTTGCTTAACCCCAGAGACTCCAATATCCCTTAGTTAAGGAATATACCTGAAATTAGAGTACGATCCCATATATGATATAAGGTATAATCCCTAATTGAAGCATATTGGAATCCCCTAAACCCTAAACCCTCTAGATCCCTTATAGACCCCCTGAACAGGAACCCTAACCCTAGGTACCCCAAGCCATGAGAGGCTCCTCCTTGCTGCCGCCGAACTCCGACTCGAAAGCCGACTCCAGGGATCCGGGGAGACCAATCTCCGTGCTCGTGGGGCTGGCTTGCCTTTTTAGGGTTTAGGGGCTTAGGGTTTAAGAGTTTTAAGTTTAGGGGCTTAGAGTTTAGGGAAGTAGGGGTGTAGAGGTTTCAGAGCTTGAAGTTTAGGCTAAGGGTGTAGGGGTTTTAGGGTTTAGGGTTTAGGGGTTATGAGAAGGGTTGCTATAAGATTGTGCTTTAGGCTGAGGACAGGTTAGAACTCGGTGCGTTTAGGAATGTTTAGGGCTGAAAGGATCGGATCCCAGGAATAAATCCCTCCAGGTTTCAGGGTCCAGAGTATTTCAACCGGGAGCTAAACCCTGAGTTCTAAACCGCACCTTACCCACAACAAACCCCTAAACCCTTAAAACCCCTAAACCCCTGAACCCCTAAACCCCTAAACCCTAAACCCTAAACCCTTAAAACCCCTAAACCCCTAAACCCTAAAACTAACAGCCGTACTCCAAACAAATCTTGGGGTCTCGGGCTGAAGAGCCTTCAGGGCTCAAGGGGCTTCATTGGTTTAGGAGTTTCGGCCTTTTTGGGGCGAAGGAAACCGAGGGTTTAGGATTTAGGGGTTTAGAAGTCAAGGGAATTAGGGTTTAGGGTTCGAGGGTCCAGCGCTGAGAAGCCAGGTTAAAGGATCGAATCTTGGATGTGGAGGCGAAACTATCCTTATGCTGCAGCGAAGGGTTTTGAGTTGCTTCTTCAGGGCTCCAAGACGTAGGGTTCATAGTGGAGGGTCCAAGAACTTAGGGTTCAGAGTTCAAGGTTTCAGGGGCTCGGGTGTAGCGCAAGCGGTTTTAAGCTATCGGATCCGTCCGTCTGGACCTCTGCCTCACATGCTGCCAGGCGGCCACTGCTCCTCCAGCACCAACTTGCCTAGGCATCTGCTAGTCTGTGGCTTTCAGATTCAACGCTTGAGAGCCTGAGGGGTTCAGGCAAAAGCCCGTCAGGGCCCAAGGGCTTTCAAAATTCAGTTTTACGTAGTTGCTGGGTGCGCTTTGGATCATAGTTCCCTGCACTGCAGGCATCTTGATCAACTGCACTACAGCACAGGCCTCACTTTTGCAAAAATTCAGCTTGCCTTACGGTAAAGCTGCAGGCCCCCTTCCAGTGGTTTTGGAGTTGCCGAACTTCGGGGTTCAAAGGCACACGGTTCCCGGTTTAGGGCCTGGTTCCCGTGCGAGGCGGCACCGGAACCAAGTACGAGTGATGAGAAATGTGGCTTTGAGAGTTCGAAAAAGCATCTTGACTTGTCGCACATAGTACAGCATGGTGTGTGAAAATATAGAATAGTAGATTTTAGTATGCTTTAGTTTGCTATAACAAGTTTAAGAACAAAATACTATAATGTAAGGTAATGAAGTATAACATGGTATAATATAGTATACTACGGCATAATATAGTATAAAATAATCTGATATAGTACATTGAAGGATAACGTACTATATTGTGGTATTGCTATGGGTCTGCAGACTAAGGTTTCGACCTCAAAACCCAAGGCTCTCTTTGAAACATAAAAACGTTGGAAGGGGCCCCCACCCTGTAATAGTGGTATAATAGGAATATAATAGGGCCCTAATATGATCCTTATAGTCACTATTACAGGGTGGGGGCAGCTTCTAATAAAGACACTGCAATTCAAATCCTGGCCGGCCGATCCTTGAAACAACCCAGGGCGGAAGTTTAGGGTTTAGGCCTGCTTTCAAAACGCCAACAGCAGCCAACACAGAACTAACACGTACAGGGGAATAATTCACTACATCATCAACCGACATACGAAATTTTCCGCGATGCCAACAACAGAACACTGCAATAAAGCATGAAAGACAAAAGAGGCAAAACATCGGGAACAATCTGAAGCCCTGACCCAAACCTTGCGGATTCCAACGGCTCAGCCAATCCCTCCAACTACACCCCAAATGCCATAAATCTCTAAAGCCCCATCACCCCGACAAGACAAACCTGACACTCCTGAGAAACAGCGCCGGGCCATCTGCAAAACCCTACGAAAGCCTGAAGCCTCAACAACAAAAACCTCCTAACCTGAATACTAGTTGCCCTGTACATTCATAAATACATACATACATACATACATATATATATATATATGTAGTAGATAGATAGATACACATACGTGTAGATGTGCAAACATATACATATACATATATATATATATATATATATATATATATACATATGTATATATACACACATAGATACATGTGTGTTTTTATAACCTGCCAAGGTACCCGGATGCCGGCCTTGCATTTCGTTGGCCAGGCCCGGCGGGGGCCCTGCCTTGACGGACATCTTCGGTTTCGACAGAGCGTTTGGGGGTGTAGGGTTCAGGGCTTTAGGGCTTTAGGGTTTGTGGTTCCGGATTTAGGGTTTAGGGCCTTAGGGTTTAGGGTTCAGGGTTTGGGGGCTGTTGTCAGGGTTCGTGTGAGGTTTTTTTAACTAGTAGCTAGGACATCTTTATCATCTTTCTTTCGACGAGATGTCCAGAGGGCTTCTGGGCGAGATTTGGGGCTCTTCTGTGTTCGATTAAGGCTCTTGAGGGGGGCTGTGATTGGGGTTTATGGATGTACAGTCGGCATAGCGTCAGTGTTCGGGATTTCCCCATAAATGGAAAACCTTACGTATCACAGCCCCTTTAATCCCTGTTAGAACCTCTACAGCAACCCCACAGAATCCTCACAGTAACCCCTCACCTCATAGTAACTCTTATAGAACCATCAAGATAGCAACCCTGATAGAACCCTGGCTTCTCTTATAGAACCATCATAACAGTAGCCCTGATGGAACCCTAGCTTCCTTCTTCCAAGGCACGGGAGGAAGCGGCCGCTCCTCCTTCTCTTTGCTCTGCTTCCGGGCCTCTTCCAACTCAGCCTTCCGCAAGGGAAAGTTTGGGCAAGCCCGGTGGGGATCCCGGCTTAGCTTTCGGGGCTGCACGGTTTGGGGTTTAGGGTTTGGGGTTTAGGCTTAAGGATAACCCTGTAGTTTCAGAGTCTAGGCGTTGCTGCTACTTTAAAATCGCTGTTACGCCATTCGCCACGCTAGTACGATCATTCATGCAGCTAAGCCCAGGCGCTCCTCCCCGTCACAGTTTGGAGCTGGCGACCAGGCACACTTTCACAGGCAGGAATGCACGAATTCAGAAGAGTTTAGGGCGGCAGGGTTTTGGGTTCAGGGTGCAGGGTTCAAGGTTCAGGGTTCAGGGTTTTGGGTTCAAGGTTCAGGGTTCAGGGTTTAGGGTTCAGGGCGGCTAACTGTGTCGCCTAACCCAACGGCATGGAAACCTGAAACACTGAAGCCTTGACCCCAAAATCCTGAAGCCAAACCTAGACTCTTGAAAGGCTGCCTATGATACCCTCAACCGTCAAAGCCTCAACCACATAGTATGTGAGAGTATATTGCAGTATTGCACAGTATATTATAGCATATTATGATATATTTTCATATATTATGGTATATCATTGTATATGTTGCTCTATTTTTTAGTATATTACAGTAAACCCTACAACCCTAGTTCAGGATCCCTTCACCTCAGCCCGGCACCTGCAGCCGGCCGATGCCAAGGGTCAGGTCGGCAAGGCATTTGGCGAGGTCCTGGCGGCTTAGGGTTTAGGGTTTAGGGTTTAGGGTTTAGGGGTTTAGGTTAGGGTTTAGGGTTTAGGGGTTTAGGGGTTTAGGGTTTAGGGTTTAGGGTAGGCTAGAAGTCATACATAAGGGGTTTTATATGGCTTCTTCCGTGGAGCCTAGTGGGAGTTTCCGAAACTTTGGGGCACCCTACATTGGGGTCCTTACAATAAGGATCCTACTATTTTAAGGATCCTACTATTTAGGGTACTATACGAGGGTCCCCAGGGTTCAAGGTAGGCTAGAAGTTATACATATGAGGGGTTTTTTATGGGCAGTTCCATGGGAATTACTCTTGGATATTGTGGGATTTGGATTCCTCGCTTTTGGGACTGGCCCTCGGCGGTCGAGGGTCTCGGGATCTGGGTTCAAGGTTTAAGGTTTAGGGTTTAGGGTGTAGGTTGTAGGGTGTAGGGTTTAGGGTTTAAGGTTTAGGGTTTCGAGGTCCAGGGGGATTCAGAGGCGCCGGCGAAATCTTCTGGGCTCAGAGAGTAAGGGTTTTAACGTGCAAACTAAAGACGCGACAAAGCAACAACAAGATGGTAACCTCGTAAAGAAAGCCGCAGTAAAACCAAAGTGGTGAGGGCGTCGAGAGCGGTAACGAGAAAGCGAAGGAAAGTGAAAGTAAAGGCGCAAACCTAGCTGGAGGAGTAGCGATGATAGAAGACCGAGGAGAACAATAGCTAAACCAACCATTACAGGCTATGACAAGCGTGAAAGTATGAACAATACTAAACAGAGCAGCAAAGCACAAGAAAGACCCAAACATTCGTAGCGATCATAGCAACTGACACAAAATCAATCAAACACGAACAGCAACCGCCATTGCTACGAAACGCGGCGATGAGAAAAGAAACAACGAGTAGTAACACACAGTAGTTCTTTGGGTAGCAACACTGATTCTCATGGTGAATGGTATACAAGCCCCTACGAAATAGGAGCAAGAATACAAAAAGCTGGAATGAAACGGTTACAAAATTCTGGAATGAAACGGTTCTTAACTACAAACACAACGGTCATGTGACAAAGCAGCAACAAAGAAACAATGGAAGCTGATATGTAGTAATTACAGTGGTGATGGTCATACCATAGCTACAACACTACACAGATGTTACCAAACGAAAACACTTGCCAACAAGAGCAAGGTAATGATGTGCACCAGCCATCATGCAAACAAACGGCATTCGCCATATCAGAATCATGTCTGAATCATGTCTACCTTCGCAACCGTCTCATCAATCGACTAGCACTAGGAATACGAAACTGCCGAAACTTCTGCAACATCTCTGCGTCCCGAACGAGCACAGGGTCCTTGGGGATAGGTAGCTGTCGGCGGCTTGTTTCCTCTTCCTTTTTCTCCTCCTTTTTTGCTTTTAGGTCCTCCGCCTCCTTGCGTTCCTTGAGTTTCGCGAGGTCACTCCTCCATCGTGATAGCACTTAGGGGATGCTACCGGGATCCCGGAAGTGCTTGGGGCAGGCTCAAGCGGTCTCGGAATCTCTCAGATAGACAGGATGTGACCGAAGCGTCCACCGAACCCTGCCTTGGGAGAGCCTCATCGTCCCAGGACGAGTTCGCAAGGGCCTCGATGGAGGCACGTCTGCGTCCGAGGACCGCCGCCGAGTGGTTGGAGGGTTGCCCGAATGAACCTCTCATGCTGCCCAGCCTCTGCTAGGCCTGAGCCAAATGCACCGGTCGGGGAGCACCCTGAGTTGCACTTCGCAGAGGGCCACTGCCCAAGAGACTTGCTAGGAGCCTTGGCACAGCAAGATCGACAAAAACCCGTGGCGCAAGCAAGCGTGAAGGAGGACCAGCAGCTGCTCCGATGAAAGGCCTTGAAGGCGAGCTGAAAGCCCAACCTGCGCAGAGCCGGACAGACCCAGGAAAGGGAAAAGAAGCGGGAACTGAGACAACAGCCTGCCGCTCCTCCAAGCAGATCAGAGCCTCGGACCGGAACAGAAACGAACATCCTCAAGCCCGTTTTGTCCTGCGCACTAGAGCTCGCCAAGTCGCTAGCGCTAAGTACTAGTAGCTGCCACTGTTGACGACGATGACGACGACCAGGACAAGAACCACGACGGTGACTGCTGTTGCTGACGCCCGAAATACTGAAGCTACCGGCCGCGACGAACGCTACCGCCGCCACCGCACAACTACAACCAAACAAGAACCACGGCGAAGACGACGACGATAATCACGAGTGCCTCAGCGAACGACTGACCAGGGTATACATGTGCTGAGGCCAATGAGGATGAAAATGACAACGATGGCGATACTGACGATGATCTATGATACCTATACCATAATATACTATAATATACTATGATATACTATGATATACTGTAATGTACTATGGGGTTGCATTGAGGCCTGCACCGGATGCACAGAGGCCAGTGAAGTCAGTGCAGCACCCGCCGCAACGCGCCGCAGCCCTCGCCACAAGATCTCCAGCAAAGCCTGGCGAGGCAGGAGAGTAATCATACAAAAATGATTGTTACCCTTGTACTGTTATGGGGGATACTTCCCTAAGTCATAATAGTTATTCCTAAAATGGAAACTCTACATTCTACTAAATCGGTACATGGGACCCTTTGAGTACTATTACTGCTGATATTACTACTAGTATTACTAGTATTGATGTTATTAGTATTATCTTTTGAAGCTATGATGGTGACAGTAAACACGACAATAACATTTCATTCACACGCAGCGGGAGGATACTGTCTGAGGTGAAACTTGACGTCCACGCTTTGCGAGGGATCGACCTGCTGCTCTGCTTGCTACTTGCGCGGTCACTTCATGACGAGCCGTGCCTTAACACAGCACTCGCACACGCTCCGCCCCTCAAGGCTGCAAGCAATGAAGTCGGAATCGGACGTGTCGTCAGTGACTCGAGCTGCAGACTCTGGCACTAATGGGAGTTAACTGGCTGATTTGCAATGTATCGCTGACTGATTGGCGACGTCCATTTTGCACACTGCTGTCTCGCGAGAATGTCTAGCCTCGCTGTGAAGGCTCGGTACGAACCACTAGCTCTATGTTATAGTAGAGGCGGTGAGGCAATGAAACACTCAGTAAAGGCAGTCCAGGCGCCATTTCCAGCCCGTTGTTGCTATTTGTAGATGGCGGAGCAACTCCTGCCGGACTTGTGCTGGTGACATGAAGCTCTCCTGTCCCTGGATGGGAGATCGTTGAGGTCACAGCCTTTGGCGGTGGTCCCAGGGGAGAAACTCCTCCCGGGACTCCACCTTTCGCTGGCACTCCTGGTGCCTTACCTGGTCCCGGTGTCCGATCTGTGCTAGATCCACTTCCTGACAGGTTAACAGGCATCGGAGGCGGCGGGCCCTTAGGCCCAGCTGATTTGGGGGCTGCTTTAGGGGCTGCTGTGTCTTCGGAGTCGGACTCCCGAATGGAGTCACTGGCTGGCGGCGACCTGGATAGGTGGGGCCGACGTCGCACTGGAGGAGGTGTTCGGGAGGTCGCTCTGTTGCCACTCTTCTTCGGTGTTTCAGGCATGGCTTCTACAGTCGAGACAGCTGGTGAGTTGAGCCTGTACGAGAAGGCAAGTAGAGCTTCCAGAAAACTTTTGGCTGACAACTCACTTGCAGATCCGGGCTCACGACTTCGCACGGAGCTTCACATGCGACCTCGGGGTATACTTGCTGTCTGGTGATGAAATTGAAGTGACCTTCAGCCTCATAACACAGATTTTTGCGTGAGCAGCTGCATTATCAGTGTGGGGAGGGACTCCACCGTTAGGTGAGGGTCCTCACGATCAGAGCGGCCTGTTGTCGCCTCCGTACTTAGTACCTGATTTCAGGCTCTGGTAGTACTCTATGACAGAAGGGGGCACTTCAGAGGGGGTGAGAATGACGCCGTTCTTGCTACGGAAAAATTGCACCCCTACCTGCATGGCTCTGCGTGGATCGACCGCCACCAGCATCGACGAGCTATCTCTGAATCCAGAAACACCAGGTCTCCCATAGTCCCGATCCGAGACGAAGTGAACATGCTGTCGTCCCTCTCTGCCACGTCCACCTTTGCCGCGACCCTTGGAAATCTTGTTCTGAGGCAGAAGGCCTCGTTGGCGTATGGAGTCATACAAGGACCAGAATGTGCCATGATACAGCATTCTGGGGAGCATCTCCTCCGTGAGTTCCTCCAACACCTCATTGGAGTCCACATCAGAGCGAGAATGTCCTTGCAGAGCCCTGATGTACTTCTGGCCTTGGCAATCGCCCAGCTCGTACCTGCCTTTTGCGTTACTCCGAACGACCTCCATGAGGTCGCCTGCCGTGGCGTGCTGGGCCTGCACTCTTGGCCATCTCAGGACGTCCTCTAATTTGGCCCAACCAGCTGAAGTGACGCTGATGTAGGGTTTATGTCCGTGCCGGAGCGAAGCTGCTAGAGCCTTCGAGACTTCGAACGAGAAGTTGCTCTCCGGCTTCGTAGAGGCAGTGCAATAGTCCCCTAGATCGCCTGGTTGGCCCTCCCAGGCCACTATAGTGGAGCTGCGTGGCGTTGTTGAGCTGTGGTCAATCTCTGACGCCATGGTCGGGGGAGAAACTCCACCCTGTGAGCTGGACGCCTGCTCACAAACCGGAAGGGGAGCAACTCCTCCTTCCTTGACTCCACTTGACGAGGCTTCGCCAGGCAGTTCGTATCCCAACGCCAAAAAGGATTCCCGTGCTTGTCTCAGTGGTATCTCCAACAAGCCACTCCACTCTCGGAGGTACTCACCTAAGGTGAGTGTCTCCTTGGTTGATATTTGCAGTAGCAGCGCTCGGATTTTGACTGCATCATAGGAGTATATCAGTTGGTTTGTTTTCTTACCACGTTTTTGCGATCCAGAGTGCGCAGCCTCCACCTCAAACATGGGCCGCACGAATATGTGCCGAGGTCCTATCCTCACCAGACAACTGTAACCGGCAGCAAGATGCCTGTTTGACATCCTGTGGAGATACACGCCTGGTCGTGCCTCGAAGCTTCGCGTGCCGGAGAGGTCAGGTGTCGAAGGTAGTAGCCTGCCTGTGGCCAGTATCCCATGCAAACATTCCAGGTGTGTGCCGTGGAACGCAACCTCGCTGTCCCCTGCAGGAAGAATGTTCGGTGAAGAATACTCAAAACGAAACCACCCATTCTCTTCAGCTGTGGGATATCCAAGCTTAGGATGCAGAGGCTCATTGGCAAGTCCCCGGCGAGAGGCCAGGAAGGTCTCCAGGAGAGCATTGGCTACCTCCGGGGAGGGTCGTTCCACCTGATTGAGGCCATCTCGCAGCTGCTGAGTTACTGTCACCATAATTCGGTGATTGTTCAGCTCAGTGATGTTCCCATCACAGTCTGACATCAGACTGGGAAAGGGGGTATAACCAGCTGACTGAAGAACTTTGATCGCAGCTTCCGTGATGGGGTCCCCCGAGGGAGGATCTCCACTCTTGGCCTTTGCTGCTGGGGGAGTATCTCCACCCTCGCTTTGCCCTGTACTTCTTTTCTTGGAAGGAGGAGGAGGGGGAGTGACTCCACCCTTTCCGCTTCCCAGCTCTTCCTGTCCACCAGTACCTTTAGAGACTCCTTTATATGCAGGATAGCTTTCGCCGTGAGCACGAGCGGAGCGCCTCCACTGGCGCAGGAAATTGCGATACGTGACATGCGGAAGTTGTTCACGTATCCGTCGCTGGCAGAATTCCTCGTACTCCGCTTGAAACGAGGGATCCTGTGTTGACTCAGGTCTGGACATGATGCTGAGTCTTGAGAGAAAGCTGCGGTTGTTGGCTCAAGCTGGCTGAAGCTGGCTCAAGCTGGCTTCTAAGCAGGCAGCTGGGCCTAGGCCACTGAGCTCCAGGCCACCACGAGGAGACCTGCATCACGGATGGTGGATTGCTGTTGGCTCAGTGTGTCTCAGTGCAGGCAGAATTATTGCAGGCAGCGACTCAAAGCTTTTAAAAACCCCTAGGGAGAGACTCCGCCAGCTGTACACCCCTCGTTGGGGGAGAAGCTCCACCAAATAGGGGAGAAGCTCCACCTGTGACTCTTTAGTTCAAAAACCCCTGGGGAGTAGCTCCACCAGCTCTACGCCTAACGAGGGAGAAACTCCTCTCTTTGTTACAGGAGCTCTTGCTTAGGGAGCATCTCCTCTTCTCACTTGGCTCAGGAAGTGGCGGCCATGAGGTGATTGTAAGATACCTCCCACGTCGCCGAGGCCAGGTTGAGTCTGCCGTCTTCAGCAAAAAACTGAGACCTCAACGTCTGCACATCAGCTTGATATGCCTCTTGGTACTCAGCAGGGAGATATTTGGCGATGTATCCCGTGATATGGGATTCTCGTTCCATTGTCTCCAAGTCGTACCGGTGGTAACCGAGGCTTGTTGGGGAAATCAGGTCTCCAGCATGGATGCGAACCAAAGAGAGGTACTGCATCCCCTGTTCGACCAGGGCTCTTCGTCTTCTGTGTCGGATTTGTCCCCATTCATCGATTCCCGATATGGAGTGGAGGTGTGTGAGCACCTTTCGAATCCCACCTTCCGGGAGTATCTCCACGGCAAGGTTCAGGATCTCATCCTTAGTGATGAGCCCAAGCCCCTTCACTCTCTCTAGCAGCTCTGTGAGCACGGCCCAGGGGAGTATCTCCACACCTTGGGACTTCTGGTGCAGAAAGT